GACATCCAGAAGGCTCTGAAATCATGCTAAACTCACTGCAATACTTTTTTTTTTCCTGTATCTTTCTGTCATCTCCAGATTTTGGAAGAAGTCTCAAAATGTTAAGGATATCCTCAGAGTGAGGCTCTGAAGTCTTGCCATTCTATTTTCTATGAACTCTTTAGAGCAGAAACTATAACCCATGGGATGATCAGACAGGAGCGTGGTCATGCCCTTGCATTAAGAGGTCCATGCCCGATGTTGAGTGGCAGAACCAGGCAAGTGCTCTTCTCCAGGCAGGCTTTAGAAGCTTCTCTCCACTGGGGCTGGCTGCTTGGCAGTGGAACTGTACTGAGGATGACCTATCTGCCCCTCTACATCTACTCTCTCACTTCTGCGCCCCACTCTAGGCTCTGTCAGCTTCCCCAAAGGATGGCATCAAGAGGTTCCCAGTCCTCGGACTTCTCTCTGGGTGTGGCCAGTAGGGATGTAGCTGGAGACCATGGAGTAGAAATGGAATGGGGTCAGGCTGTTTCCTCCACATCACACCCAGCATGTAACCATGGACTGGTTCTGTCTCTTTACTAATGGACACTGTTCCTGTCTGGAAGCAGCTCTCCATACTGCTTAGATTCCTCTGAGGTTCTTAGCTCCCCAAAGCCTACTCCTACTCATGATCATTCAGGTCTAGGGACAGGAAAAGCTTTTCATCATCCTGCTCCATCTCACGGCTTTTCCTAAACTCTGCTCACACCTTTGTGAATGGCCTGGAAAAAATCCCCCTCAATCATTCAGTTTGAGTGTTACTTGACTTGTGACAGGATTCTAGTTGACACAGAAACAATTACCCAAGAGAAAATGAAGTTAAGGAGTCTTAAGATTAAACAAAGTAAAAGGAAAAAGGTGATCCAACGTGGGTTAGAAACACGTCTCATTCAAGTTTGGAATAAACAGAAGATTAGCCCTACGCTATGTTTCAATTACTTAGAATATCCTTATATTTTCAAATTAATTCTTTTAAAAGGATTTTGGAGCAAATCACTAACACTTACTTTTAAAAGCTCATGGGGGGCCGGCGGGGTGGCATAGTTGGTAAAGCCACCACCTGCAGTGTCAGCATCCCATACAGGTGCCAGTTTGAGTCCTGGCTGCTCCAATTCTGATCCAGCTCTCTGCTATGGCCTGGGAAAGCAGTAGAAGATATGGCCCAAGTCCTTGGGCCACTGCACCCATGTAGGAGACCCTGAGGAAGCTTCTGGCTCCTGGCTTCAGATCAGCACAACTCCAGCCATTACAGCCAATAGGGGAGTGAACCAGCAGATGGAAGACCTCTCTCTCTCTCTGCCTCTCCTTCTCTCTGTATGTAACTCATACTTTCAAATAAATAAATCTTATAAAAAAAAAAAGCTCATGAAAAAAACCAAAACCAAATTAAAAGGTAAGTTTATCTTGATGCAAAAAACTTTTTGAAATCCATGAATACAAACAAGGGTCTTCAAAAAGTTTGTGGATTTTTGTTGTACCAAAATAAACTTATTTAACTCCATTTTCCATGAACCTTTTGAAGTTCCTTTGAATAACACCCACCATATATAGGGTTGGGTACTTAGAATGCCAGAAAACCACTGGTTATCATGCAAGACAAATGTAGCTTTTGCTACACCAAATTTAAAGATGGACATTTTCTTCTTAGTCGACCTTGTTTAATATCACAAAACACACGTCCATTTTGTTCAAGGTTGGGTTTTACATTAGCTCCAAGCTTCACTCACTCGCTACTCAAGTTTACTGGATCCAGATCTGTCTGGTATACAGCACAGAAAAGGTAATAGGAAGTCACCAGGAGTTTATTAACCATTTAAGGATCAGAAGAGCCCACTTTAAAAAAAAAAAAAAAAAAAGAAAGAAAGAAAGAAAAGAAAAAGAAAAAGTACTCAAAGTACTCCAGAAAAAAAGCAAGACCTTGCTATAAGCTTGTTTCAATAACAAGGTCTGGCATTCAGAAGAGGAAAGACAATTCTTACAGAAGCATGGAGTTTGTCATTCCAATCCCATTTCAAGGAAAAAGAGGATAAAACTCTCCTTTCCTTCCAACTTTCTCTAAGGCATTCCAAACACAAGGTAGAATCACAATGATGACTATAATGCAGGAAAGCACAGCACAGGAGCTGGGGAAAACAATTCTGCTTCATTTGAGCAGAGCAACCCAGGCACGGCAGTGAATTAACACTGGGAATTCCATTCCCCTTCCTCCAGCAAAACAGGTCAACTCCAGCACCTACAGCAGTCTCTTCTCTGGAGAACGCTGGTGGGTTTCAACAGGCACATCAGCAAAGTTCCAAGAGCTCAGTCAAGTGAGAACGCCTCAATGGTAGGCATGGTATCAGCAGAATGGTCTTGGAGGCACTGGCAGAAGAATTTAGCTGCCACGGAGGTACTTTCAGTTCTAGTAGATGCAGATGGGCTTGGGAGTAGCAGGGAGAGTAACCTTGGTCACTGCCACTTCAATAGCCCTGAACTACTAGGAGAACTCCAGAGGCGAACTCCAGTTTCAAGGGACAGTGTCTGCAGTATTGACCCTCTTCCTTTTTAATGCAGAATACATGTTAATCTGCACTATTAGGTGTTTTCTTAAGACTTCATAAAAAGAGTACTCAATGATAATTTCTAAATAAAGGGAAATCACAGATAAGCAACAAGAAAGGATAGTTTAAATAAGAATCATTTTCCTCCAAAAAATGACAAATTAAATAAAATACATTCTGAACATTAAAAACACAGAAAGCAGTAGCAAGTCCAAAGTGGCTGAGTGCAGCCAAGGACAGTGGGCGGGGCTCGAGATGACAACAAACATCACCCCTTTCTCAGCCCTGCTGAGGACTGGGTTTGGATGAAAAGCACAGAATTCTAACAGCACTTAAGAAACAAGAACCTTAAGAGTCTTAACCTCCCATTTCACTACTTTGATAAATAGCATAAGAGAGGAAAAAATAAGGAACACTGAGGATACAAAAACAGGAGACTGACACCCTGAACTATTCCGGGTCTAATCTCCTTCCATCTGCGTGTTCCCCATAGATGGCAAATTTTCTAAGTGTTTCTCTGAGGGCAGGGAAACCAATGGTAGGTTCACAAAATGTGTTCCACTATAAACCAAATGCTTCTAAGAGACCAGTTGTGCAGAGAACATGTTAACTTCCTCAAAATCAGCAATAAATGATAAGGCAGCTATATACTGATATCCAGTAATGGGGCAGAAAATAAGTTTCCTGCAGACATGGAAGACTTCACTCTTCTTTGGAACACACCTCCAGATGAGCAGGGCATCCAGAAGGTTTCCAAGAAGCTGAGCCCTGACCAGGAGCACAGGAACTATGTCACGGTACTGCCCGCCACCCAGGGAGCAGGCTGGGGAGCCAGTCACCCTCTCCAGACACCTGCCCTCCCTGTCGCCCAGTGCACCCAACAGAACTATCATTAGCAACCTCTTCTTGCTTTCCTCTTTCCCCCACTTCATTTAAGATCTTCAGTAGCTCTGAGTACACATTTCACTATACTAAAACTGAGAAAACCACTACAAAGGTGAACTGCAATGTAGCTCTAAACCTCTGGAAGTGGAAGCGGAGAGTAAACAAAGACTAAGGGCTATCTGTAGGGGTACAAAGCTTCCAAATATTACTCACCACGGGATAAAAAGCCAATTACAATTATTTATTTAATTGTTTACATGGCAAACACCCTGTAATTACAGGAAGAGCACCAACAATCTTGTCTCTGGTAGGGACAAGACTAAAACTACTACAAACTGGAGTAAGAACGCACAGGGTTCATTATTAAGCAAACTTCAGGACTTTCAATCATTCATACTCTGTCACATTCTGAGAAAATAGCTTGGCAGGTGGATCACAAACACTCTAATTTTGGGGAATTAAAAAATGGGCAAGAAGCCCGAAACAGCTACACATGTATATTTTCCCTAAGGATATGATAGTGTTCAATCTGTGAGTCAAATACCACAGAAAAAAAAATTCTCTGTAGTTCTTAATGTCTGGGTAAAGTCGCAAGTTTCCAATTGTGCAAATGCAGACTAGAAACAATCCCAAGATTCAAGAAGTAATCTGATATTCCACAAGAACATACTGAATCACCCTAACGTTGGTCTATTTGTTATTAATGAGTAGGAATGAAAATAAGCATTTTTCTACAACGACATAAGCTGACCTGAATACACACACACAAAAAAACCACCCACACAATGACAATCAACAAAAAAAATAAGACATGTGTAGGTAATTTCCAAATATCAGGAGAAGGTAAAGAGGGTTCATCAGGGATACAGACACATTTGTGCATGCACCTACTTAAGATACACCCATCCTCTAATTCTTTGGTCATTTAAAAAAAAATTGTGTGTGAACCTTTCACTTTAAAAGTAAAAAATATCTAGATTCCTACTCGATTTAAATAGATTCAAGTAAAGTTCCTGGGACCTCTTCCAGAGAGTTAGATTGCTTTAAAATTGGCCATGCATTAAATAAAGCTTTGTCTAACAACAGCCAGCGAGTAACTGATATGGTATCTGTACGTTCGCACTGCACAAGGTTTCTTTATCTCAGGAACATTACTCAGAGACAAACAACAAATCAGATTTCAGCTCTGGAGAATCATGCTCAGCCTCCTCCAGCAGCACGGCCAGCTCACACAAACCTTACATGAGCGCCAACCACCTGCTTCCTGAGGAATTTGTGACCTACCTTCTCCATTACTTCCCCAAAGCTGCTCCTGTGTTACACACGTGCCCCTTTCCACTCATTCCACTACAGTCCTCTTTCACCTCTAGGAGATTCGTTAACAATAAATGTGCAAAGGTTCACTTTAACAGCAAAACCAGAAAGAGAAGCTTTCAGCATTATATCGTGTAATGAAACAAAATCCCAAATTCTGAGAGTTTGCTAAACCAGAACTGAAAGCTGTTACAGGAAGAGATTCATTCCTGGGTACCTGGCTTCTTTTCACATTACCTGCTTCAGTGTACTTCAATCCCACTTTTTCTTCTGCATCTTTTGTCTTCGGGGGTGGCCAGACAGCTTGGAGTCTGCCAGGAGTCCTATCATCCTGCTCTGTGGGGCTCTGGTCAGACTGTTGAAAAAGTGGACAAAGAATATGTTAAATGAAATGTGGCCAGAGCCAATTAATTCTCGGAAACAAACACTGTAGCTCTAATTCTAAAACTAATTTTAATTATCAGTTCCACACCGCTCTCATTCACTGCAATCTCAATTACAGTCTCATCATCCCACTACTTGTCTGAGTCTCTTCCAGAAATGTGAAGCGATCAGTTGTTTGGGGTGAAAGTTAAGAAACAACAAACTAAAAACTCAAGGCTAAGTATTACATAGCCCTTGGTAATTTTTTTTCATTAGGTAACTCTTTTTAAAAGCACAAATATATCTTAAGCTGAAGACAAAGACGCAAACGTATCACATTCAGGTACATCTTAGAGTGATTGTAAATGTATCCTCAACCACTCCAGGGTTATTTATAGTAATAAGGACTAGGTTTGCTTATTCCATGAACATTTACAGTAACACGAAATACTTCTCTAGGTATTCAACACTACTATTTCCAATTCTTTTCTTTCCTATTAAAAAAAATGAATGAGGTTGCCTTCATAGTCAAGCTTTATAGGAATTGATTTTCACAAGTATGCTTAGTGTTTAACTACAATCCAAGATAACTTTTAACATTTCAACTGAATACACCAATTGCATGAGAGGGAGTGACAATCGTATAAGGAACAGATATTAAGCAAGAAATTATAGTTATTGTTCTTATGAAACTTTAGGATCTACTAGACAGACACTTAGTATTCTAAAAGTTATTTTTCTTTGAGTAGCAGCAATTTCCATGATCTAAATGTCTCTTCTGCACTAACTTAAAATAATCCTCACAACAACCACATAACATAAGGGTTATTTTCCTGATTTTACACATGAGAAGATTGATGCTCAAAGATTATCAAGGCCATCCAGCCAGGAAATGATACAGAATTAAAACCCAGGTCTCATTCTAAATCTAGAGCTCAGTCAAGAAGTCTCACAACGAACGTGGAACACTGAACTCAAATCACAAGAACACAGCTTGCCAAATGGCAGACTTTCAAAGGAAAAATATAGTTTTCACAAAGGTATAATTAAGTGGTGAGGAAATTCCTGTAAACCTGGGTTACATATCCATATTGCCTCACCTCCCATGCTGGCTAGTTTTTATAAGGCATTTTCTGTAAACGTTTAAACTCGGAATGACAAGCCTTCTTCCTACCTACACATCTTTACATATAAATTTCTTACAATATTCCAGAAAAATATGAGGAGGAAAGAGAAGTATTTCTGTCCGACTCTATTCTCCTTTCCTGGATGATTCATTCTGTTATTATCATCTTTTTACCAACAAGGGAGCCACTAACAAGAGACAACCGACATTCATATCTACAGGAAGCCTAAAAACGGATCGAGAGCACCACATATTAACGACGAAATGCAAAACCCAATTCTACATACACTTTTGGAGTCAGAGGGGCCATCCGCTGGCCTGGCCTTGGACCGTTCAAACACAGCTCTCAGCGACTCCTTCTCATGTCTCATCTTGCGCTTGAGAGCCTCCAGCTCAGAGGTGTCCGCTGTGGTCCCCTTTTTGGGGGGCCGGATGAATAAGGCTTTAAAGGCCTCCAGGGCAGTCTCCGGTGGCTTGGGCTTGATCTCACCACCCTGTGTCTGGGCTTCTCCGGGGTCCTCGTGGCTCTCCTGATCAGCACTACCGCCCATCTCTTCTTCCTTGGGTGAGCCGGGGTCTGCGGCTTTCCCCTCGGTTTTGGGCATGTCAATGTTGAGCAGCTGAGAGAGCTGCTCCAGGAGAGTGGGAGTGGCCTTGGGATCAGATGCTTTCTCCCCACTCCTCACTGTCTGGGGCCCTGCCTGCACTAGGGACTTCTGAACAGGCTGGGTCAATTTGAGCAGAGCCAGGTCCCCATCCTTTGGTTTAATTTCAGTGATGGTCTCCCCTCCCTCAGCCATTGCCCCCTTCTTCAGTACACGAAGCCCACTAAAAAAAGCAGGCAGCTGGAATGGCTTCTCTCCGGGGGCTTCCTTTTTAGAAGCAGCACTCTTGGTGACATCAGTACTCAAATTCTGGCCTGTTCCTGCAGGTGGAACCCGGGACCCTTCTTCTCCAGCCCGGCCCAGGCCAGGGCTGTGCTCTGTCTGAAGGCCACCATTGCCAGGTTCCGGTTCCCCACTTATCTCAGGTGGAGTCCTTGGAGGACCCTCTGTCCGGAGCTCCGTGTCATCCATGTCTCCAGCGGCAGTGTTTTCCCTAGGATCTCCTGGTTCTTTGGGCTCCTGGGAGGGCTCAGATAAAAGGACACCCGGAGACTCTGGGCCCTTGGCACTGCTTCCCTCTTCTGGCTCCTGGCCACCATCATCAGAGTCTGAATCACTGGTGGTGTGTACGAGGGTCCCGCGGACCCAAATGGCCTCATCTTTGCTCGCACTCGAGGTATCCAGTGGAGGCAGCTCTTGGCCAGGAAGAGAAGTCCCTGCTTCTGCTTTTTCCTGACTTCCTCTGGATTGCATCTCCACGCGGGCAGTCTTCTCACCATTTTCAAGGCCAGGTGGGACCGGTGCCTCGGCCTCCTGCCGCTCCAAGCCATTGCTGGGCTCATCCCGCGGAGGTGTGGGATCTCCCTCTAAGTTGCGGAATGCTTTCAACACAGCCTCTTCCTCTTCAGGCTTCACAGATTCCAACTTACTGGTAAACCCAAACAGGGACTTCATGGAAAACTTACTCAGGATCGACTGAGCCATTTCAAGTCCAGCTTCGGGTTTCTCCGGTCCTGAGACATCACTTTCATTCAGAGAGTTACCATCGTCCTCCATGTCCCAGCAGCGCCCTTGGTGGAAGTTCTGACTCGTGTTACCTTCCCCTGCTCTCTCAGTGTATCCACTCCATCTGCTCTTCACTTCCAGGACAGAGAGCGACAGGACCTGGGAGGCAGCCGGGCTCTGGGCTGCCCGGCAAACACACTTCGCCTCTCAGAAGTCACTGAGCCCTCCTTCCGGCGTGCGTGGTGACGGCCCGCCCAGGGCAACTGTAAAACGTCTGTGGTGCTCTCCGCCCAGGAGCAGCCCAGCCGGGGCTGCACACCTTACTACTCACGGACCCGCGAGGCTGCGGGGCTGGGACTTCCGTATTTATCCCCATCGACAAAAGGCTTTTTGTCGGAGGGAAAGTCAGCCTGCCCTGTAATCCCAGCCCGGGACTTCACGGGGAGCTCCGCCCCAGCGCCTGCGGTTCTCCTGGTTGCATTCAACTTCCTCATTGGTGAGCAAGTGGAGGTTCCTGAAAGTGCTGAGCCGGCAAGCTGGCCCCGGACAACAGGCGGTAACCACCACCTCCCGGGAGCTGCCCAAGGGGTTCAGAAGTGAATCAGCAGAAAATGCCCAAAACGCTTCTTACAGGGCCTTCCTTTCCACGGGGATGGCAATCAGGGGCCTCGGACGTCCAGGCCCAGAACCCAGGAGTGCACCCAGATCCACAGACATTCGCAAAGCCCAAACCAGATCAAGGAAAGAAAGAGGCCATCCCCAAATGCCCAGAACTCTCCAAAGCAGTTAATTTACTGCCCTTGGTGTTCAAACCCCTCAGCCCCCCACCTCCACCCCCTACCCCTGCTTCCCCGCAGGTTTCATCTGGAATGCAGATTTTAGCTGGCAGCTGAGGAGAAAGGAAACCAACAGGACTGGTTTCATATTACTGCTGTTTTAGCTCTGCCCTGGCTGTCTCCGTGTCCTACAAACAGGTACTTAGCAAGCACAGCCACCACGCCCAGAGTCCATCAGCCATAGGGTTGCAGAGTAAACAGCCCCCGCCTGGCAGGACTGATTACCCTGCACACTCCCTGTGCCAACCACAGAATTCTTTCTGCTCAGCAGCTGTGACTGCCCGGCTCAGGGCACCCCTCTCTGCTTTGGTGTTGCAGCCAACGAAATGAAAGCTGCCACCACACAAGGCAACCCTCAACCAGCCTTGTTAGGCAAAGCAACCCATCAGAGGTCGGCCAAGGAGCCACAGTCCCCTCAAGGGCAAAACATCTGAAAGGTCTTTATCAGTCAGGTCTCTGTCACAGACCCCAGCTATCTAGAACTGAACCCGGACAGACACACCGATCTTCACACATCGGCTCAATGTAGCCTTCATCACTGATTCTGTGCTGAGGGCCTGGCAACTAAGCACAGGAGAGAAACTTCAGCTCCGTCTGCACAGCTGCCTCCTGGGACAGCTCCTGTCATACCTGAAGGTGTCAGTGTTTTCCAAAGCCAATCCAGCCAGCCAGTATGCAGTGAGCACCTGCCGTAGACAAGGAACCGTACTGGATGAGGAAGAGAAGCAAACTGGCTAAATAGCAGTTGCCAGCTCCCCTGAGTGAAGCTCCAAGAAGAATTTCGCCAAATGGTGAAAAAAAAAAAAAACATCATTTTGTTCTGTGAAATGCAAGCTTTAGCCACAGCAAAATGACAGTCTTACCATATCAACAGCTGGAAATGGCTATCACTGATATCCTGTGCCACGTTCCCCGGTGCTGCAAATAATCCTCTTCCATGTAATACTAAGAAATTCTGATGGCTATAACACACTTTCAGCAATGTGTTCAAAAAGGACCCTCAAACAAAGAATAAAAAACAGGTGCCTATCATTGTATCCCACCTAACCCTATGGGGACAGTTAAGAGAGCACTCACTTTTTTTTTTTTTTTTTTTTGACAGGCAGCGTTAGACAGTGAGAGAGAGCAACAGAGAGAAAGGTCTTCTTTCTACTGGTTCAGATGGCCGCTACTGCCAGCGCGCTGCTGAAGCCAGGAGCTTGGTCTCCCATGGGGTGCAGGGCCCAAGCACTTGGGCCATCCTCCACTGCACTCCCTGGCCACAGCAGAGAGCTGGCCTGGAAGAGGGGCAACCGGGACAGAATCTGGCGCCCCGACCAGGACTAGAATCCATGGTGCCAGTGCCACCGGCGGAGGATTAGCCAAGTGAGCCGTGGCGCCAGCTGAGAGCACTCACTTTCTAAACGCTGATTTGATCTTG